CCCCCACCCCCCCGAAAAGAGCATCGCAACAAAAAGCCAGCCAGCCAACCAAGACTCCGGTTTGTTGATCGCCTTGTTTCTTTTTTTTTTTTTTTTTTTTTTTTTCACCGCTTGCGGGATTCGCAAACCGCGTTACATGCATGTCCAGTGGGGGTAGGTTTAATTTTGACGATGGAGGGTCCTACTGCGGAGGCTGGGAGGACGGCAAGGCGCACGGCCATGGCGTCTGCACCGGCCCGAAGGGCCAGGGCGAATACACCGGCTCCTGGAGCCACGGCTTTGAGGTGCTGGGCGTCTACACCTGGCCCAGCGGCAACACGTACCAAGGCACCTGGGCGCAGGGCAAGCGCCACGGCATCGGCCTGGAGAGCAAGGGGAAGTGGGTGTACAAGGGCGAGTGGACGCACGGATTTAAGGGGCGCTACGGGGTGCGGGAGTGCACGGGCAACGGGGCCAAATACGAAGGGACCTGGAGCAACGGACTGCAGGATGGCTACGGCACGGAGACCTACTCGGATGGAGGTAGGTGCTGGCAGCGGGGGCGGGGGAGGAATGGGGATCGTCCCTCTCTTTCTCCTGTTTATCTCCGGGAAGTTGAGCCTCGCCTTCCAGTTGAGCTGTGGGCTCCTGGGGCACCTCCTAGGTTCCCAGGAGGCCTCAGCGGGCCCCTGGCCACAGGTTGCCCCGTGCTTGATGGGGCCAGTGGCCCATTCCAGCCCAAGGGTTGGGGGGCTCTCCACTAGCAGGGCCTGGCCCCTGCCGCAGCAGCTGAGCCACAATCTCAGCACATCCTGAGGAGCAGGCCAGAGGATTTACACCTGCCGGAAGGCCAGGCCGGGCTCTCTGCCACCTCTGGGGCCGCCAAGGCAGGAGAGGGGGCCGCCAAGGCAGGAGGGGCCTGGACATAGACCCTTCCCTTCCTTCGGTGTTGCCCGCCTGGCATCCCCGGTGTCAGGCCCTGGTTGGTTTCTTGTTTTCCTGCGGTGCCCAGGGCCTCCCTCAGTCCTAAAGCAACCCAGGCCAATAGAGAGGGAGCGCTGGGAGCGCCAGAGGCGGGGGATGCCGACCAAACCAAACAGCAAGGCAATAAACTTCTAGGTGGTTGGACACAGGCTGTCGAAGCAGGCTGCTGGAGGGAGGGAGGGAGGAGGCCCATCTGTTTAGCGGGAGCCCAGGAATCTGGCCGTTTAGTGGCTGAATCATTTTCACCTTTAGTTTAGGGAATCGCTCTGCGCCTCCGGTGTAAGATGCCACCACAGTCAGGGCAGAGCCGGTGCCGGAAGCCAGGGCACTGCCAGTGTGATGGTTTCTGTTCAGAAGTCCTGGCTGCCTTGGCAGCCTCCACCTTACCTGGACACCCCAGTGTCCACTTCTCAGCAGTGCTGAGACCTCGGGAATAGTTGGAGGTCCTGGAAGTCAGACCCCAAAGCCCACTCTGCCTGAAAGCCTCCCTCCCCCTCGGGGGTGCTCATCCCAAGAGGCTGTTCTCTTGCCTCCCTCCAGGCCTGGGCGGCTTTGGATTTTTCGGCACGGATGCCTGGGCAGGGAGTGAGACGCAGCAATGACTTGGGCTTCTGGGGCAGGGGGGAGGTGGAGAGCTCCATGGAGCCCGTGTGTGTTCTCTGTGCCTGAAGCCAGCTTCTGCCTGAAGCCATCACCTGCTCCCGGCCACATCCAGGAGCAATGAGGGCTGGAAAGTAATTATTATTTTGGCTTATGCAACTGAAAGGCAGGGTTCGTTATTACCCGAAGAGGAGGCGGAGTCTGGGCAGTTAATTATATAATGCTCCTGCCTGTCTGCGCCTTGCCCAGCCCTGGTCCCAGGCGGCCTTTTCTGTAATGTTGTTTTCGTGGGTGAAGCTGGAGAGTTTCCCTGACCCTGGAGCATTGAGGCCCTCTTGAGGTCCCAGGCCTGTGTGTGTATGTGTGTGTGTGTGTGTGTGTGTGTGTACACGTGTACTCACATACTTACACACACACTCTTGGTTTGGGCCTTGCAGCAGGTGTGGGCGGCCCAGGTGGGTGGTCCAGCAGCCTGGTGCTCCTAGGAGGGAGCCTTCACAGGCAGTTGTCACCCAGGGCTTTGGCTAAACTGTTCTGCAAAACTGCTGTCTAGAGGTTCCTGCTCTGGAACAGCTGTCTTGGTACCCTGGGCTGACTGGACCCATAGGGAGGGGAGAATCCCAGAATCCTCCAGGGTGGGGCCCTGCACGCAGGCCTGCCCACACTCCATTGGCCTAAAGTAGTCTTTCCTTCCACCAGCAAATACTTATTGAGCTCTTCCTATGGCCAGATGCTGTGAGCTCCAGGCACCCAGAAGCAGGCAAAGCAGACATGATCTTCCCAGAGTGTTCACTTAGGAGGAAGGTGGTAATTCTCCATGGGGACTCGGGGCCTGGTGTGCTGAGACTATGCCCTAAGTGATCCCCGGAGGATCTTGTTCCTTCATTGGGTGCTTTCCAAGCCTTTGGCCTCCTGTGGTACTTCCTTGCCCCCAAACCTGCCTGGTCCAGTCTACTTTGAAGGGAAGTCAATGGGGCCATAGCTACGTGTGTGCAGAGGCTCAGAGCCTAGCCTTGTGGCAGAGTCCCCTTGTGACTTTGCCCAGCCATGCTCCTTTTGCCCCGAACCCCTTGAGGAAATGGCAGTTCTTAACTGTTTCCCCGAAGTGAGGTAGGCATGTTGCAGTCGGCTTCAGGGCCTGTTCTCCTTCTTAGATATTGACATAGCATGGCTGAGATTAAGCTGGCCCTTCTTGCTCTGGACATTCAGGTACAGGTGTCCAGATACATTCTTCTGGGCATGACCAGCTCTTCACTAGGAAGGGGGTGACCTATGAGAACTCAGACCCTGGGAAAATTGTCTTGTGAATGCTGGCTGGCATGAGGTCAAGTGTGTAGCAGCTGATCAGGGCCTGGGTACCCCTTACATGGTGGACACCAGGTCCACAGTTTTGGGTGACTGGTTCTCTTGAGTGAGCAGTTCCAGCTTCAGCTTGCCTTTGGCTTTACACAGAGATGGGAATTGGGGGCAGACACTAGCAGTACCCCACAACTTTTGCTCAGGGCCCAAGGCCAACTTGGAGAAGTGGCCGTTGTCATGAGCAGAGAAATGTATTCTACATTCAGCTGCAATTGGTACAGAATCCGTTTCCACTGGGGACACTTCTGTCAAGTCTTCCTTCAGCTTGCCCTCCCCCAGGCACATCAGGCATCGCTCCTGATGTGAGCTCCTCTTGAAGTCTGTATGGAGGCCTGGGGATCGGGTGGGGATGGCAGGAAACCAAGCTTTTTGGGCGTTGACCACCTGGCCTTGAATCCTGGCCTCGCCAGGGCTCTGCTTCATGACTTTGGGCAAGTGACTTAGCCTCTCTGAGTTTCTGTCCCCTTGTCTTTAAAGGGTTAATACCATGGAGTGGGCGAGGATGAGCCTCTGCCAGGAACGGAGTGGGCCTTCTTTTCATCTTTACGGTTCACGCACAGAGAACATAACTGTTAAGAATTCTCAGAAGAACCAGCAGACAGGCAGGACTGAAGTGGACATACAGGCGACAGTCAGAGGTGACAGGTGGTACCTACCGTGACTCTTGAACTCTCCGTGTCACACCTGGGCAGCAGAGGCTTCGAGCCAGGAGCCTTGGGGAGAGCTGGGATTCTCAGTTCCCCTTACTTTTCTCTGCCTCCTTATAAACTCCCTCTGTGAACTGCCTGCCCCTGTGCCGGGGCAGCACCTCTAGATACAGGGGCAGATGCCTGCTCTAGCAACCATTGCTGTTGCTCTGTTGAGGCCTGGAGACCTCCCTACTTTCTGAACATAAACAAGGCTTCCTCTGAATGTCTTGGACCAAAAAGTCAACCCCCAACCCAGATAAACCCACCCACACTCTGAGAGATGAGTCATCATACGCCCCGGCCTCCCCACTCCCCATACGAGCAGGTCCCGTTCACCGGCCCAGATTCCACAGCCCACACACATCACACACACCCACAGTAAGAACTCAGATCCACCCAGGCGCCTGCGCACACACACTCGCACAATACACCTGCCACCCTCGGATCTTCCACCCCGTCCCCCAAAGCAGTATACCTCCTGGCTTTGTTTGCTCCTCCTAGGCAAGGGCCGGGAGTCCCTGCCACCCTGAAAATACAGAGTACTAAAGAGAAGCCGGGCAGCTGTGTCCATTTTGGACTAAGCCTCTGGCGTTGCTGTCCCTCGTGAAGAGAAACTGAGATCAGACAACACAAATGTGTCTGTCTCTCTGTTGGCACCAGGCTTTGAACCTAAGGTCTTGCTACTTGCTATGCTAGGTAGACACTCTGCCACGGAGCTGTATCCCCAGTCTTTTTGGATAAGGGCTTTTGTAAGTTGTTTAGGCTGGTCTTGAACTGCTGATCCTCCTGCCTCAGTCTCCTGAGTGCTGGGGATTCCAAGTCTGTGCTACCATACCCAGCTACTTAAAAACTACTTGTCATGCTTGGCTATGAGGAAAGCTTTGTTCAAAAAAAAAAAAAAATCCAGGTGCCTGAGTTAAGGCAATACAACCCCATCAGCCCATCCACACATAATCCACTGGGAGAAGCTTGGTTTTGAAAGGAGCACACACCCTGCCTCGGAAGAGGAAGGCATTCCTTCCATCTCTCTTCACCAGTGAGGGAGGGGGTTGTTGACAGGTGAAAGGAGAAAGAGAGAGCGAATGACTAGTTCTTTGTTCCAGTTATAGCTGAGAAAGAAGAGTTTGTGAGAAGTGTTCCCTCCCCCACCTCAGCCTCAACTGCTGGCATTGGGGACCGGGTGTGAGCTTGAGGGTCATCGTTTCCCTCAAGAGTGGCATCTGAGAGCACCTAGTGTGGAGTCCTGGGTGTTAATGTTACTGACCTGAGCTAGAGAGACGATTACTCTAGAAAAGATAGTTTCGGAGGCGGAGCACTCCTTCCTCAGCACCCCAGGATTCCCCAGTTCTCAGTGTAATTAGTGGACTGTGCTTACAGATATTCTCCATAGTAGGCCCTTCGTGCTGGCCACAGAGGACATGCCACCACACAGGATTCTGGTCTTTTTGTCGTAGTTGTTGTGTTTTATTTCTTTTGAGACAGGGACTTGCTGAGTACCCCAGTCTGGCCTAATATTCACTCTGTGGCCTAGGCTGGCCTAGGCTTGGAGAGATCCTTGGAGAAAGCCTCCTAAGTGAAGACCCTCTTGTTTTAATGCTTAACAAGTTTCCAGTTTGTTGTTATTGTGTGTGAATGAATTACGGACGAGTGTGAGTGCATCGGTGCCACACAGCATGTGTGTAGAGGTCAGAGGGCAACCTCCTTCCGCCTTTATGTGGGCTGTGGGGATTGAACTCATGTCATCAGGCTCACCCAGAAAGTGCCTTTATCCACTGAGCCATTTCTCTGGTCCTTGTGTTTTGTTGTTGAGACAGGGTCTCACGTAGCCCAAGCTGGCCTTGAACCCTGTGTACTTGCGGATGACCCTTTACCGTCTTATCATCTGGCTTTGAACTCCTGATGTTTTGGGAT